TAATATCAGTTCAAACATCTTGGTTTCTTGCGTTATTTGAAGGATACTCGAAGGAAAAAAGAAATTCACAATCCCTAATTAAATTTATTTGCTGAAGCAAAATCCAGATGAATAAGAATTTCATGTTGAGTCATATTTTTCCTGCCTTTTAGTTGGTTAATAGGATAATATATCCTATTTTCACGAGGTTGAATGGCTTGATATATTATCAAGATCATATGATTTACTTTAGACCGAAAATTAGCAGCAGGTCCCGCTGATTAGTTTGAATATAAATTTATGGAGGCAGAGATAGAGTTTTTAACAATTCTTAGATAATCGATAACAGAAAAAATCAATTAAATATAAATCTAAACAGATAATGTAATATACTATTCTGCGTGACAAGTAGATATGGATAAGTATGTACAGAACTATTTTTTTCTAATCGCAGAAGAAAATCATAATGATAATAGGGGTGTACATAGATCGGGTAGCCCAGCTGTATCGGTTTAGATTGGTTTGATTTTGTTAGTTTTGTCAGTTTTTTCGTGTTTCTCGGAGTTTTTTTTGTTACATGAATATTATTTCAATCTTACTTTGTTAAAATTTTATAAATAAAGTTTTGATAAGCGAATATATGTTTAGTAAAAATTGAACCAACTGTCAACCATATGATCAATTGATGTATTATTTTTTTAGTAACAGATGATAATTATTTTCTTAGTTGTCTAACAATAATTTTTTTTGATGTATGCTTTAATTTCAAGGTTAACCGAATTTAATAATTAAACAGAAAAATCAATATTAAACATAAATAACGATATGTTCTATTTAATTTTAAAATTATCGAAATACCATTTCAAATTCGAAAAAGAGATAAGAATTTGTCACAATCCAGATTTTCCACCCTCGGGAGTCATGATGGCGCCTACTAATGTGAGCTAGGCAAGCCAATTATTGAACAGATTACCTTTAACCATTTTTATACCCTTTTAGCATTTATAAAGCAATAATGTGAAAAACAACAAAAAATTCATTAAGCGGAAGAAATGTAGTAAAATATCTGAAATATGAATCCAATACAACTGTTTAAGCTTTAATCACCCAGAACTGGTGTCACAATACCACATACGATCTAAGAGTGCTAAATACAAAGTCTGAAAATAAAGATACACTGTTTCCGAATCAAAGAAATGAAACAGGAAATAAAGGATAGAGGAGATGCCATGGCCTGCGGACGCTTGCAGGTCTACCTTGGATCTCTGGATGGACTGAAGGTAGCCACCCAAATGCTATAGTCCATGAGCTGCTCCGGGATCTGCACATAGTGCAGAGTCTAGTATCAGCACAACCGACCCCATATGTTGGTAAGTGCCTAGCCTAACCTCCGCGAAGTAGTGACGAGGCTATGACCAGGCTACCAAATGAACCTGTGCAGTTATATAATATACAACGGAAAATAAAACATAAATAAACAAGTAAAGATGGGAGGGAGGTTCATGCTGCGGGGGGTGTATCAATATCAACAATAAACCAAGAGTAACGGCATAAGGACAACTTAGAATTCACGGCAAAACAATAAGAAACTTATGTCCAATCTATAAACACTTTGTATCAACAACTGTTGCGGCGCGCAACCCGATCCCAATATATAACAACACTGTTGCGGCATGCAACCTGATCCATATCATTTATCATTGTTGCGGCGTGCAACCCGATCCACATATATCATTGTTGCGGCGTGCAACCCGACCCACATATATCATTGTTGCGGCGTGCAACCCGA